ATTACAAACGATAAACATTTTTAACAAGATAATCTTACCTCATAATTTTATTTATTATATTAGTTAATTTCATCCGCGTCAACAATACGAGATGCATGGAATACTAGAGAGGCACAAAATTAATTGTTTTTTGGTTCTGTTAGATGAAAAGAAAAATTAATTGGATTAAATAAAAGATTTAATATATATATATATATATTTTTAAATGAACTTTCTAATCCGAAATTATTTTTATTAAAAAAAAAAAAAATTTTTTCAACTTATTCCCGCAGGATAACCCTTATTCTCAGCCGACAACTTTTTAAATTCAGGGTTTCTTGTAATTTCTTTGAAAATAAAATCCATTTAAGATCATTCCATTTCCAGCCTCATTAAATAAAAGGATGCATTGCATTCATCGTATTTAATCTTTTGAAGATTTCAACCCTAGCATTCTGTCGTAAATTTGACAAATGATACTTGTCAGCTAATTTAAAAAGTTCAATGGTTGATACAATATTGAATCTAACTTCATCTGCTCTTAACATTTCATAGAATACGAAACAGTGGAATGCAAAAAAAATGGCAATTTTTTTGAAAATCGATCAAGTGTAACTAATCCAATTTTGTAAGAACTTTAATTTATCAAGAGTTAAAATGACTTCTTCAAAGCAAGAAAGCAACAAAAACAATTTACATTTCTGGGAGCAAGGAATACGCAATGCTGCTGAAACACATTTTTCACTTAGGACAATATATAACAACCTTAAAAAAAAAAAAAAAAAATAGAAAAGATTGGGATGTCAAACGTAAAAGTGGTAGTGTACGCATTAAAAAAATAACCCACACGCATCCCGGGAAATTGAGCAGTTTGTTCGAAGGGAACCTTCAATTTCTGCTGGGTCTGTTGTTGCCAAATTGGAAGATATAGGAGTAGAAGTCTTCCGCTCAACAGTTTCGAGATATTTGGCTGGCCTTGATATCGAAATGCACTTCCTCTTCGCCACCAATGCTAAATACAATCCATAAACAAAAACCGAGTTGAATGGGCCCAAAAACACAAAGATGATGATTGGAAAATGACACTATTTAGTGATGAAACGGCTTTCGAATTGTTCCGTAATACGACAAAGCATTGGTATAAAAATGCAAGGCCAATTCGTCCAATGTCAAAGGACCGTAGTAAAATATTTGCCTGAGGTGGATTTGTGTAAAGGGTACCAGCAGCCTTTTTTGTTTCAGGCGTATATTGAATGGAGAATTCTACACGGAGATATTAAAAAAACATATCCCGGAAGTACGGTTACAGCAGGACAATGATTCTAAGCATACTAGTAAAGTTGCTAAGGATTTTCTTGCTAAAAAAATCTCCCGGAAGTTATGGATTGCCCTCTAATAGTCCAGACCTAAATCCCATTGAAAACCTTGGGCAATTGTTAAAGGAATGTAGGCCAAAAATCCTTGATGAATTAGAGTGTTTTTGAGGGAGGAGTGGAGGAATATTACAGATAGTCTTCTAATTAATCTTGTAAACTCAATGCCACAGCGTTGTAAGTGAAAAAATATCATACAAAATCTTTTTAATAAAATATACTGTTATTGGCTTTAAAATGATGCATTATAACTTTAATTTGTGTAACCGTGATTTAAAAAATTGCTATTTTTTTTTTGCACATCACTGTAACATCGACAACATTATAAAACAAACTGGATGATGATGAATCTGTTTTTTCCTCTGACATTTCCGCCCATTGACCTTTGAAAAAACATTCGGAACGACTTGATAATATTGATTTACAACTTCATCTTTAACGTTAAATAAGACTTTTCTGGAACATCTAATTCGCGACCCATGTTTCTAAAATATCTTTAGATTTTGATTTTGTATGGAAAGTATCCTTTGATTCTAAAACAGTTTTTCAAATAAAAAAATTCAAATATTCTCTTTTTTAAAAACAAATAAATAAATAATAAATAACTAAATCTTTCTTATCGTGCGCTTTTAATACAGATATACGAGCCCGTTCACACTAATATTGAGTTGAAAATGTTACTTCAGAATTTGGAACAGCAGTCAAATATATTAAACAACAATTTAGATTCTCGGGATCACTCTAGTAAAAAAGAGAGTGTAGGGTTAATGAACTCATTTCTTGGTTACTTTGA